ATCCGTCTATTCTTTATTATTGTTAATGGTTACTTTCACATATCTCAGTAAGTTATACGCCCACCTACATTCTATAAACGTTAATTTTATTGCGGTCTTAGAGAAGGATTAGTGTGTATGTATATTCCAGTAAAATTGTAATTACCCCAATGGTAGTGAAACGTCCAGTTTAGTGGTCGAGCACACATAAATATTGTGGAAATATTGACGTAACATAAACTAGGCTGCCTGTAACATATACATCGTAAGAGTCATATGGTGCACAGTAAAATAAATAGCAACACTTGGAAATATTTTATCTGTTGCTCGTAAAACTTGGCAAAAGTTATTGAAAAGTTTAATCGCTTATTCTGGCATTTTATTATTACAGATACAGAGGTTATTTTTCGGGGCAGACATTTTAAACCTGAGCGCATTATCTGAGTATTTAGGAATATTGCATAAATATATTAGATATTATTATTGATTAGGAAAATGTAGATTCTTAAATCATTCGGAGACACATAAGTTTATGATTTAGATTCTGTATCTAGATACTATGTAGGTATTCCTGTTTATGCAAGTGCAATAGTAACATTTTAAGTAAAGTTACTAGTAGGTAGTCTTAATGACACCAATAAATAATTAAAGGTCGAATTTAGGTAAAGGAATAATTGGATGTAAAAACTCATAATTTACCTTACAATATTTAGATAATTATGAACGCAACATAAAAATATGAAGCGTATATATTGCTCTTAAATAAGTATTTATAGCATTAATTATATTACACTTAAGTGAACATAAATTATCGTGTTCGAAGTTCATAAACTGCCTTTAATTTGTTTATATCTCAGAAGAGTGCATTGAACCGCCCGATGATAAAAATATGAACAGTGAGAGAGATAATTCGTGCTGGATGGATTGTTATAAACAAAATTAACCACAGGAGTCATAAATCGTGATTTTTGTGCACCGTCCCACGCGTTCGGTGGCATTTTGTCGTGTCCCTTTTAAAAGTCTAATTAGGATTCTTTAAACATACCGATTGCACTGAAATGTATTGTGGGATATTGGCGGTGTCGTTTTGTTACATTTTTATCATTCAGCTAACAGTTGCTGAGAGTTGAACAGTCCACTGCGTGGCACTTTTTGTTTATAAAAAAGGAACAGTGCGACTTAGAAACTTGTCAATCAACAGGTTTATAAAGACTTCATTTTCTATTGTCCCAATTGTAAAAACCTTTGATATTTTTACTACTTATGGTGATGAATTGATTACGAATTTTAAGACCAATTTTCTGTTAATATTAAGGCTTTATTTCTTGCAGCGATGCAGTTTTTGTATCCTATATAATACTGAGTTTAGAAATTAGACTTATTAGATGTATTACGATTGAAGTAAAATTACAAAGTCTGTGGGCCCTCATTCATTGGTACCGCGTATACTAGATGTTAACATGTCGTCCATGTGTAAACCGATTATTGACAGTTGCCATCAGGTGAGACTTAAGATTTTTTGGTATTCAGTTAAATAAAAAATGTTTTAAATCTGTACCTATGTGAATAGAGGGTCAGAAAGAGCATCGGGCATTGTACTTTTACATCGAATATGTCTTAACGAGAAAATAACGAGGGACCGACTGCAACATGATGCTTTTAGCGAGACAGCGTCGCAGATTTTTTTTGGTACCAGATAAGTTTTTTTTAATTAGTTCGTGGAAACTTTGTCTTCTTTTATCTTTAAAGTTCTAGAGAGGAAGTAGGCCTGTATTCATACTACATTTTCTACATTTTAATGTTAGCTACATAGGTCAAAGATATAAAGTTAAGTAAATTAATACTTCTATTATTATTTCCCAAGACATCGTTATTTGAGAGCCATTTTCAACCGACCTCAATGTTGTTTAGCCCCTAAACGTATACTACTATACTAATGTATTCATATTATTTATATACAAGTAAAACATTAATAGTCATATTAGGTCATATCATATTATTATTTAAGTTTGTTCAGAGATTAGTATCATAATTGTAGATGTACCTATAAATTTTAAATATGCAAATGTACTTGTTATATTATTGATTATGAATACGTAAAATCATCACTTTTATATACTTTCAATGAATTTGAGCTTCGACTGGCCTGTAATATAAACATTTAAGGCAATGGAAAGTCTCTGCGCCGGTGTTAATGATTTACGAACAGAAGTAGTGGATCTGTTTTGTAGTGAATTGTAATCGGAATGTTCATAAGCCAATGCCCTGTTGAAGGTTACTGCTGTTGTGAGATGATTCGGTAATGATTTCTCTTGTAACGTATGCAAATTGAACTTTTACTTCCTCTACATAACACCTACTTTATCAGACCCGTTCTTGCTATCTAAATCACGCAATGGTCAGGTCGTTACCCTCATTATCACTTTGCACGATAACATGAAACACGGAAAAAATCCATCTTGTAGGTATAGTGATAAAAAAGTAACCAGCTTCAGGTGGCCTTCGATAGCTATACTTGTTGTTTGAAAGCGAGGTCATGTTGTCTAGTTGGAACAAAATGCCACAGATCATTGTATTTAGTGTACTGTTAATAACACAAATTGCTAAGTAAACACTTCGTGTCCTTGGATGCGGTTCGTTAGTGTCGCTGAGGTCGCGAGAGGTCGCAACTGCTTTAATACTTCATCTGTAACACTATTTAATATTTATTGGTTTATTTTTTAATGTAACATTAATCAATTTGATTTCTGCTTTTAAAAATTACTTTCAATAAACTTTATTTACCTACTACTAAACAATAAATGCTTGTTATTTATGAATTTTAGGCAATCGCTAACATTGGTTTACATCCTATTTATGAAGTTACATATTGAAAAGTATGCAAAAGGTAACAACAAAAATTCTGAATGTCCAAGTTATATTTAATTCAATCATGACTGGAGTTCTGCAAGGATCCATACTAGGTCATTTACAGAGATATATAGATAAATCATTGTTTTATTTGTTCCCAGTTATACAAAATTACAATTACATAGATATACGAAATGGCTTTATAATTCGACTACAGATTAATTAGAGATATTTGGGTCATTATGCTTGAACATAAAAAAGTCTTAAAGTCCTGCATTACTGTTTCTAATTTTATTAATGATACATCTCAATGTTTTAGTCTCTACATATTTATAAACAATTCCAGATCATGTAACTACAATTAGATTATATATATTGCAACTTAATAGATAAAAAGGACACAAATATTTTATGTGTTTAAAATTTGAAAGAATATACGAGAATACATATCATAATACTTCAAAATTACTTGTATCTAGAACTTTTCCTTTCAAAATAGGCCTATTAGATAAGGACAGAAATTTAGAGATTAATATAGATAGTATGTTTACTTATTTAGGTATGTAGATAATACATACGTTTATTAGGTAAATAGGTAAAATACCGTACATTGCTTAGATACCGTTATTATGTGAACCGTAATATAAAATAAATGTATCTAGAACTTTTCCTTTCAAAATAGGCATTAGATAATATAATATAGATTGTTTACTTATTTAGTAATAATACATACGTTTATTACTTGGTAAAATACCGTACATTGTTAATAATTATGTGAACCTTAGCAATAATATAAAATTGTGTAATAAGTAACTTGTCATGTTAATAAAGTTACAATTCAATTGTTCTAGTAAGTGGTAGTTGCCGTGACATCAGCAGCGCCCCCTTGGTGTTCATTAATGGTTGAAGGCTGTTAACTATGGTACCTATTTCTTTGTGTTTGTATGTAGGTCGTGTATTCATACCAGATTACTGCTCAGCCCCAATTGTTACACAATTATGAACAGTTGTATAAGGGCCCGGCGCACTTGTCAATCATAATAAGACCATTAGCTTCAGTAACTACTTGAGAAGTAGTAGACTTTATAAAGTTTATTTTATCATTATTTAAATGCTTCAAGTTGGATTAGCTACAGATGCAAATATAAATAATAAAACTGCGAAATTTTACTAATACCTTGAGCTAATTTAATGTTATAATAGTATAACTATATGATACTAATAATAAAACTAACTAATATATTTTAGTCATTTTAGTTCATTAATTTCATCTCTATGTTTCAAGGTAATTTTAAAAATGAGTTTCAAAACATTCCAATAGTTAACATTTTCAATAACAGTAAGTTTTACTTTTTATAAATTAGGTGTGTAGATAAATGTCAAATTAAAATACATACTGAAATTATTTTTATAAGTGAGCTCTTTTTGTTTGTATACAAGTGTGTATGTCCCGCACAGAAAGTAGGTCGAGTATTACAGAAGTGTTAGATTATATTACAGAAACCAGCGGCCATTTTCTTTCGATTGTAAGTATTCCCCGATAATGACTAAGAATGTGATTATATAACATATTTAGAATCGTATGATAACTTTCATTAGATAAGTGACTTGATAAACATGTGTTATGGTATTATACATAAAAAAGTCTAATATTTTCTAATTTTTTTAATTTTATTTTCACTCAGTATTAATACAAAATATATACCCATCATGCCGCAAAACTACTTGGTAGTTTGTCTGCAGCAAAAGCCCATAAAACGCACCTATATGCTCTCACTGTAGGTATGTAATTGAGTACACAAATATCATGTGTATACAAATTTAACACCATGAAAATGTATTAGTTACAATCGTAAACTGTATTTGCATGGTAAAATCGATCGATTGTAACGCAAGTAAATTATTAAAAAACTATTCAAACCGTCATCATGATTGGCAAGACCTAATACATTTCTTATTATATTATTAGTATTCCTTTCAGTATCGTGGATATTGTATGATCAAACAGTACAGGAATTCCAACAATTCGTATAGTTCTTCGAAACTGAAGGTTATATAGTAACAAAAGGGACATGATTGAAGATACGTACGGAAGGAAACCCATAATATCACTATATCAAAAGTCAATAAAAGTATCCCAAACTCACAAACAAATAAAGTAAGGCACTCACCTATTTTTCCATTGGGACTGTACGGGCCGTAGCTGCTCGAGGATAGCGGGGAGGAGTAGCCGTTGTTTGGCTGAGGCTGGGCTGCTTGAGGGGACGGGGACCCGCCCCCCGCGGCGCCCCCTCCCGCCATCCAGTCCCGCACGTGACCGTTGACCTGGTGTCCGTTGTGGCTGACTCCCGGCTCGGCTTTGACCTGGCTTGGTAGGCCGCGGTATGCCACTTCGTGTTTAAGATCCATGCCGCTGCTACCGCATGCTGCTGCACCGCCGCTGGCCCCGCCGCCCGCACTCCACACTTCTGTAGACAACATTGTGTTTTTATAAAGGGATTTTGGTAATAAATCAAAGCTACCATCATTTCGGCATGTTTATCATTTGAACCATAAAGTGAAATTCTTTTAAATTGCACAACCATTTCAAAAGAGTTATACGTGATTAGAATAATGCAAATTCGTGTTTAATAAAGTGAAATTACATTACATTAATATAAAAAAGAGAATCCTAACAACAAGATTCTAATTGTGCGTAAAAAATAAATATTTTATTGTTGGACTTGATCGGTAAATAATTAATTATTATTAATTTCATACTAACAAATAAATTAAAATACTCGACCATGTCATTGGAATTTTATTATAATTGTAATAAATACTTTGTTAGTGCATCTAACACAGCCTCATCAAATTCAATACTGTGCTTTATTATATTTTTTACTAGTGCATGTTATTAAAGATGACTGATGAGATATGGTATGGCACCAGGATTTCGATTTACTGGTACAAAAATTTTGAAGTACAAGCTTGTTGTATCTCAAAAAAGAATCAAACTTATTCCTCAATATACTTTCTACTCTGCTCTTTCTTACATTCTATAATAATGCTCGTGAGTTCATCGCAAGGCATCGAGTCTCCCGACAGTCTGGTCTCTTCTATATTAGGATTATAGGTATTTCTCAATGATCACACTCCCTGCCTGATGTATTTAGTATAAATAAATGATTATGAAGTTAGTTTCTAAAGCATATTTGGCATTTTAATAATTCTAGTCAGGGATGCCAACTGTACGAGATTCCTTGAAAATATGAGATTTTTGGTCTTCGGTACGAGGACACTTTCTTTTATCTAGAAGATTATACGAGATTTTTATCGCAAAAATACGATGATTTAGATATAAAGTTTTAAAATACGAGAACTATCAAACTCCTTTCTTTTGTTAGCAGGCTAAATATTTTATAGTTCACAACGCTTGGTTCTAGTATACTCAGATAATGCTAATGTATCTGTCTGCGATTTTAGTATATATAAAAGTCAGATATTATAGTAATATAAATTTTGGTGAAATTACAAATAAAAACATTATCAACTATATCATGGTTTTTTAACTTAGTATTTTTGTAAAATTGTAGCGTTGCGGCGACTCTGAGATTAATATTAGTTTACTGTTAGTACTTGGATCATCACAAAGTTATCTAGAAATATAAATTGCTATTTGTTTTGTTCAAAACCTCGCCGGTGTATTTTGAGTAGTAATCTGTAATACAAATACATTTACGACTCCATATTACATAGACCAGGTAAGTTTTACTTAAAAAATAATAATATAAAACATTAACTTTGTCATTACCTAAATTCATAAACAAGTATTGAAATAAATATTCATTACATTACACAGAAGTGTTAGAAACATAATGCAACTGAAGGGGAATACGTTTATGACTAAATACGCGACAAGAGTTATGTGGCCATAATCAGATGTAATGAAACGTTCTATAGAGATTCTATAGATTACTATGGCATTTCGTACACATATTTTCCACAAGGCGATAGATTTATATTTCATTTCATAATATTATGCATATTATGATGCATAATATTATGAAATTGCAATCTTTATGGATTTGTCGTATATTACTTCAAGGCATCTGTATTCATTTTATCCATACTGATATTATACACGTGAGACTATTCTTGTCTGTCTGTCTGTTTATCTTATCACGGCTAAACTGCTTAATTAAATCTCCAGATTAAGTAATAAAATTATGTTGTAAATTTTTATTAAAGCTTACCACATTACACTGAAAACTGGACCCCAATCTGTTAAGTCATTTCTGAGGTTAGAGTGCACAAACACACAGAAATCTAACAATCAGTGTTTTGGGTTTTATTACGTTGATAAAGTATTTTTTTTTCTCATAAATCTTCGCTGTATAGACCGATCAGTTACGTCTTCTTTCTGTGTATAAATTACTATAAATAGACGGCGCAAGAAATTATAATTAACTCAGTATTGCTACAGTACATAATTTCACTGACCAAACAAAGAACAATTTCCATGATATTTCAGATATCTTTGATCTCATCGTAAGATTATTAACAGTTACTTACACTGAACATGATTTTCAAGCTTTGAAGTCAAAGTACAAAGGAAATCATGGCTCCTGATAAGAGCAATTGTAGATAATTTAAAAGAATAGCTTAAGAATTTTCAAGAATATTACAAATTTTCCGACTCAGTGAATAGTGAGAAAATACATCCGGATAAAATGATAATTATAAATGAGAGGTGGATTTGATTGAAACTCTTCGCATTGTATTTTTACAGATTTACTAAAGAGCAGAATGAATGCACTTGTAATGGTCGACAGTCGACAGGGAGAGAGAAAGCGAAAAAGAATATCATTCCTTTTTCTCACCTAATGTGTAAACATTAGGTTCCTTTGTAGAGGATTTTAAATAAGATAATATAAGTTATTCTCTTATTTAAAATTAATTTTGTATGAATTATATTTTCCTATATAAACTGCAAAGGGGGATCAAAATGACACGTGCAATCTCAAATGATATTCTTGCATATTTATTATCAACGTTTAAAGAACGACTTAACAAGTGCAATAGATAGGAGAATTCGTCATTGAAATTGACAGGTGTGCTAATTCTGAATTAAAATATAATTATTTGTACATGTAGTGAGCAATTTAAGTCGTTCTTGTTCAAATATTAACTATTTATGGGTCTAAAATTAATTTTGTTTAAATAATTTCTAATCAAACATTACAAAATTAGGAATTAGACGAAATAAGCCATTTTTATCCCACATTTATAAGTCGTGACCACGTGAACGAAATCATGGGCAGAAGCTAGTTACTCATTGTTATTATTAAATAGACATAGAGTTATATAAAAGCGTAAGCCTATTGTGTAATATTCAATGTAATCAAAATTAAACATATGAAAATTCTTATTAGGATAAGTCTAAGGAGATGAAGTTCTCAACGCTGTAGATTTTAAATTAAGCTATCAGACTCGCAGTCGTAAACCACAGCGTCTCCAGGATTAACCAGCATCTTATACCGGGATAATGTGAATCCTTGGATGTTAGCAATTGGCCCTGTGTTGTTTGTTCCTCGTAAAATAAGATACATAGCTTTAAAGCTGAAGTTGTATTCAGAAGAAATGTATATGCAAGTACATCACATATATCAGTTTCAAGTGTTCCTAGTTATTATACAGAATAAAGGAAATTTCCGTGTATACAGAGTTTATATTATAAATTTTCAATGCTCTTGTTTGCTACTTCCAGAGATACAATGTTATATCCCAAAGTTCATTTCGTAAGTAGGGCTTTAATTAATGATACTAAAATGGTTTACAAAAGACATAGACAAAATCAAGTATTCTCTATCTATCTATCTATAACGTGTTTGTTCTTGTTTAATATTGGCTGTATCATTCGACGCTCTCCGAGTGAAATACAATTTACATTTTTATACAATTTAAGCTATTTTAAAAATCCAACTACCATTTTAATTTTTCATAAATAGGTCAAATATGTTTTAACTTAACCCTTACAATCAAATAAATAATTATTTTAAAATCAAAGCTTTCTTATGTATAATTTAAGTATAAATAGATGATTCTTAAAAATAAATAAGTACAATGCCATTAACTACACAGTAGCACTTAAGAGTTACTTTTCTATATAGCGGAAATAAAAACGATGCAGATTGACTAATAGCCTACTTACAGACAATTCGAAGGCTAAGCAGTAAGTTACTAAATGCAGGACATGCTAAAAACGCAAATTAAACTATAAATCTGTATATACATGTACAGACAGAATGAAGTAAATATACAGTTGTTTCACTAGATTCTACATTGATGTGTATAGTAAGCAGCATACATGTTTTGTTCCACTATTTTACGGGCTCCACAACAAACTTTGTTATTTTAAACATTTTACGAGTCAACATAAAATATAATAATGCAAACACGCGATTTCGTTGCATAGTAGCTCAAACAATGGCTGATTCACAGTTTTAGTGTTATTAATTTCTCTTTACTTGTAAAGATGAATAGTTTTATCGAAAACTTTTGTTTTCTTTTATCGAACTAGTATATATTTTTATTATACAACGAATTTATTGTATTTTAGGTATATAAAACCTACCTATAATTGTATTTCGATTTACGATGTAATTCGATTTCTCAACTTATGACTGGAGTCGGTTTTGACATGTCATTGTTAGTGTCAACAATTTATTAGTAAAATCACTGAGAGCTCTTGCACTTTCTATAACATTTTGATAAGAAAGCTTGTCAGTGATTTTTAGTTTTTTGCTTTATATAGAACTAGTACTTAGTACGAACTGAGTACGATAATAAGTGAATTAAATGATAGTAATGATATAGCCACTGAACCCCAGTTCGAACATGTAATATCTATAATAATAGTATAAAGCTGAAACATTAGTTTGGTGGAATGCGTTAATCACAAGAATAACTGAATTCTTTTTAGTATTAAATAACTTCTTTATCGAGAAATGTTATAAATAGGCAGGTACATAACATAATCCTACGACAAATAGAAGTGGATCATCTTTGAGAAATGTTGCAAAAAGGTGGGGAAATATATTTCTTTTCTCTCAAGTGACGCTCACGATGTAGCAGTGGTCAGCTAGTGTGTAATAATCTATTAGGTATTGCGTAATTTAACGTAAGTCTAAAAATATAGAAACTAGTCATAAGGCTCAGACAACACTAGTATATAATATTGTCATTATTACGTAACCAAGTCAATGGCCGTAGTATTTAAAGCATTCAATTCATTGACTGTGATTTAAAACGTGACATAATGGATAATACGAAATTGAATTCATACGTCGGTATGGCACGGTGGCGTATGCTATGCTATGAGCGACGGCTGCGCATTGCGCCACAGCGGCGCGGGCGCAGAGAAAGCGTGTGACGTCACGACCTCGACACGCTCACCTACTTGCCGACGATGCCTGCAGCAACCCAC